GGATTAGGCAGAGTCCGAGGACGTGCCGAGCTGGCAGGCTCAGGGGCGGGGCGGGTGCTAGCGCTGGGGCTGCCCTATGCCAGCTCAGGCCTGGGCTGTGGCAAAGCCTTGTATGGCTCTGGCAGAGAGCTCGGCCGGCGGCACCCATTGGCTGGCCTGGCACTCCCAGCTGGGGCTGCCCAGCCCCAAACCACGGGTAACTAGAGACTCCGGGAGCTGGTGGATTAGCATGTCTGCCTGCCCGTCAGTCCGTCCACCCCCAGGGCTGCTTTTTTCCTTTCCTAAAAAGGCAGAGCTGGGCAGGAGAGACGGGCAGTTGAACTCAGGCCTGGGATCAAAGGAGGGATGCGTGGGGCGGTGCAGGTGGCTTTGTGGAGGGTTTGGGAATCCTAGCCCTGGCCTTGGGCCAAGCACTGGACCTCAATATTCTCATCTGGAAAGGGAGCAGCAGGCAGCGGGGTCCCCCTAAAGTCGGTGATGCCTGGAAAGAACTGGGGAATATGTATGTTGGGGTCCCCCAGCCCCAACCCAGGTTCCAGGGCTGCTGAGTAGCAAAAAGGCCCAGATTCTCATTCCGTAGGAAGCCAATCATTTCCCAAATGTGGGGACCTGGTTTCAACTCCTGGCCCTGATGTCCTCGGGGAAGCAGTATCATCACTCTGGCACCCTGATCTTGGGCAAATAACCTCTTTGTGACTCAATTTCCTTGCTTGTGAAATGGGGCCAATACTTCCAACCTTTCTGCTCTGGCATAGATGATGAGGTTCTAAGGCGGCTCCTCCCAGTGTCTCCTGAGCAGTGCCCATGATGAGTCCCATGCAGCCCAGCCCCGTGTGCACCCTCTTCACCTGCTGTCTGTCCTCCACCAGCTCTTCCTTCTTCTTTCCGCTCATGTCCGTCTCAGGCTGGCCCATCCTACCTACAGTGGCGGGCCCCCTGGAGTCTCCAGGACAGAGTGTGGTCTCCAGGTTCTGAGCCCAGAGAGGACCCAGGCCTAAGGGTAGGCTCTCCAAGTTCTGCAGCCCCCGCCAGACCTGGACTGGGACCCAGACAAAGCTTGGTGAAGGCCTCAGCCGCAGCCAACCGTGGCCACTGCCCTCTGAGGCTGGGGTTAAGGGGACAGGGGAGTGGTCCTGCTGCTGGCCAGGGTGTGATCCTGGGCTTTCCCCTTCATCTATAAATGGGAGTGTGCGTCCTGCCCTAGTCCATTCCAAATGGGAAAGTGCTTCACGAACCTTCGAGAGCAGCCTGGGAGGCCTGCTGGCCGTGATGCGTGAATGACTGCTGGGCCTTGGGCCTGCTGGCAGACAGTGGAAGAAAGAATTCATGGCACTTTTCATGCTCTTGGCTACTGGAACCTAGGCCCTGGCATCTGCTGGTCACTCCTTGCACCTGTGGCCTCAGGCACAGGGACTTAAGTGGCTACCAGGTGGCCATATTGACAAGTCGGGGGTTGGCTGCTGGAGAGAAGCGTCGGCTGGACCCTGGGTGGTTGCAGCTGATCAGTCTGAGACCCGGGGCTCCCCTGGAGCCTGAGTGTGAGCTAGGAGGGGAGGGAAGACCTCAGGCTTCCTGAAGGACGACATGGGAGTCAGACAAGGGTTTTCTAGTCCTCATGCCACCCCTGCCCAGCTGCGTACCTTTGGCTGCTGGGGGCCCTTCTGTTTTCCTTTCTAAAAATGGGGACAGTGATTCTCATCTTGCCAGGTTGTTGTAAGGACTACACATCGAGTTTGTCAAATGCTGGGCACTGGGCCTTGCACACGCTACTCTCTTCTTCTCCCTCTGGGGCTCTTGGGGGCTGTCCTTCCCCACTGGCCTAGACTGAGACAGCGCCCCCCCGCCACCACCCAAGGACCTGCTCCCCAGACACCTGCTCCAACAATGGCTCTTTGTCCCATGATTTTAAAGCCAAATGCCACGTTTGCTCCCAGGGCCTCTTCGGGACTGTTATTTTTTTCACTTGTTCGCCGTAAAAATTCAGCACTTTGGAGGCCAACACTGTCAGGCCCTCCCCCTCCCATCGCTGACATCTGCTCATCTCCTTGTCCAGTTCTGAGAAGTCCAAGCCTTGTATGATCATCATTAGGGCTGTTTCCAGTTCTCATTCTCCTCCATCAGGCATGACCATGTGACTTGCTTTCGCTGGCAAAATATGCATGGAAGGGATAGTTGTTTTCACGTAGAGCCAAAATACAGCCAGCTGTGAGTTACTTACCTGCCCTTGCCCAGGAAAAGGACACGGGCTGCCCAAGCACAGACCTCTTTGACATCTATGCCAGCATTTTTTTTTTTTTTTTTTTTTTTGAGATGGAGTTTCGCTGTAGTTGCCAGTGGGAGGCCCGAAGTTCTGTACTTGCCTCGTGGGGTCATGGAAGCACAGGGGTGAAGCCCCTATCCGTCTAGGTCTCCAACTGACTAGGATAAGCATCATTCCCCTGCCGACCCACACTGAACATGCAGTGAGGGGAAGAAATACACTTCCCTTGCATTCAGCGACTGAGTGTCCGCGTTGCTAGTTTCTGCAGCGAACAGAACCCACCCTGACTGTTACGCTCTGGCTCACAGCCTGGATCTCCACTTAAGCCTTGCAATCCTCAGTGATGGCCTCACTTGCCACCAGCATAGCCCACTCGGCACCCTGCACAGCTCACTTCCTGTCCCCTTCATCCCAGTGGTGATCTCTTTCATTGTACCTCAACCGCCCACGCCTGTGGCCGACACAGTCTTCATCCAACGAGTTAAGACAATTCATAACATTTTCCTGTTTTCATCCAGGTGACCACTTGACCACCGTCCTTTCTCCTTATCAGCCAGGCCTGTTTGCTCCCTTCTCAGCTTGTGGGCTCAGCGGTCAGTGGCCTTACCTCTTCACTTGCCAGTGACTCACCCCCAGTGACTCATTGTCTTTGTGTCCCATGGCCTGGCTAAGCCCAGGCCACCTTCCCCATGCCCACAGCCAGCCCACGAGGGCCGCTGGAAAAACCACACTGCTGAGCAGACAGAGGGCAGCCAGCCCGCGATGCCATACCAGGTGCCTTCTCTGTTTCCTGCGAGCTTCTGCCTGCTCCCTTCAAAGCTCATTCACACCTCCTCAAGTGTCTTTGATCTTTTCACCCTGCAACTTCCTCAGGTGGTTTCACTCTATTTCTCACAGGAAATCCATCTTCAAGAGGGTCCTCAGCTGGGTGCAGTGGCGCACACCTGTAATCCCAGCACTTTGGAAGGCCCAGGAAGGTGGATTGCTTGAGGTCAGGAGTTCAAGATCAGCCTGGCCAATGTGGCGAAACTCCGGTCTCGATTAAAAACACAAAAATTAGCTGGGCATAGTGGCACGTGCCTGTAATCCAAGCTACTGGGAGGCTGAGGCAGGAGAATTGCTTGAACCTGGGAGGTGGAGGTTGCAGTGAGCCGAGATTGTGCCACTGTGCTCCAGCCTGGGCAACAGAGTGAGACTCTGTCTCAAACAAACAGTGTCCTCAACTTCCTGTCACCAAACAGACACGCTGACTGCATCTGTGCTTCCTCCCTCCCTTCCTTTGGGCCACAATGGGAGAGGGGTCCACATCTGCTCATTGCCTCCCCACCAGCCCGTCACACCCTCGGTTTCCTTTCCCTGCACCCCATACCCCCCACGACTGCCCCAGCTCTCCCGTCTCTAGCCCAGGCCCCTAGAAGGTGTCTGTATCTGCTGCCTCCACTTCCCCACTTTGTCCTCACTCCTCAACCACCCCCATCCACCACCACCATTTATCCCACACTCAGCAGCATCTACAAAGGGCCCACCACGTGCCAGGAATTGTACTAGTCCAGCTTTCCCAAAAGCCGAAACAATTAATCCCCATCTGATCACTTTGAACAAACAGACCCTCTTAGGCTCTCAGCATGAAACTTCTGGACGGCGCTTACCCTGAGAATCCCTCCCGATCTTCCAGCAATCAATCTAGCTGCTCCTTATGGCTCTCTTTGTCCTCCCGACCCTTAGGACTTTTCCGGGAAAGGTCCCCTAGGTGATGCACTCTGGATTGGCACTGTCCCTCTCTTCCACCACAGCCGTGATGGCCAGTGGATTGAGGAATTGATGATGGCCTCCCCTGCTAGAATGTGAGCTCCTCGTGGTGGTTCTGTGTCTGTCCCACTCACTGTGGTATCAGTGACTGCCTCTCATTGGCACTTGGCAAACCATCGCTGAATACAAAAAGCTGGGGACTGCACTTCTTTTGCATTCTTGTAACCCCAGCACGCTGTGCAAAGCCCGCTCAGAAACAAATTGTTGAAGGCTTACTACGTTCCAGGCTCTGTTAGCCACTCTGTATATGCGATCTGATTTAATCCCCCCACCAGCCCTTATATAGATCATGACTGTCCACTTTACAGACTAGGAAACAGAGGCACAGAGAGGTTAGGTGAGTTGCCCAAGGTCACACAGGCAGTAAGTGGCTGTGCCTCCCCCACTGCCAACACTCAAGAACCAATTCACCCACTACTAATCTTGTAGTGAGGTGACTGCAGGGCCCCCCAAAAAGTTCAGTTCATGTCCTAATGCCTGGAATCTGGAAATGTGACCTTATCAAGGCAGGGCCTGGAGTGATGAGTGTATAAACCAAGAACTGCCTGCAGCCACCAGAAGCTAGGAGAGGCTCCTTTAGAGCCTCCAGAAGGAATCAACTTTGCCAACACCTTGACTTTGGAGTTCAGGCTTCCAGAACTGTGAGGGAGTAAATTTCTGTTGTTTAAACCACCTCGTGTGTGGTGATTTGTCACTGCAGACTAGGGAACAAATACAGGCCCCAAACCACACGGTGCTGTATCTGGTGCTTCCTTGCGAGGTCTTCCCAGGGGCCGCAAGAGAGTCCTGGGCTGTGTGACTGCGGCCCAGTCACCCCCGCTCTCTTGGCCTGCCTGCTCTGCAGCAAAATGAGCACTTGGGATGCCGAGTGGCCTTCCAACTCTGACACCGTGGAACCCTCTAGAAAAACTATGAGCTAGGCAAGTAGGGCTATGTTGGGATTTTCAAATTTATTCCAACATGCTATTTTTTTTTAAAAAATATCCTCAGGCTGAACACTCAGCCAGAGCTGTAATAAAGGCAATTATTATATTTGTAAAAACTTCTCATTCACAGTACAGATGTAATTTACAACAAAGGTCACACACATCAATACTGAGCATTTTTCCTTTTGTACGTCAGACTCTGTGCTTTAGACCTGCGTAGATTTTTTTTGTTTTTGTTTTTGTTTTTGTTTTTTTTTCTTTTGCACTGATATATACCATACCAACATTGCAAGATGCAAGTGTGGAAACCGGAGTTTAAATAAAATTACAGGCAAAACCACCCCGTCCCAGTGCGGCTGCTGTACATATCTACAGTACAATTTTTGGAATGTATTGCCATTTAAGAACATAGAAACTCTCTACAGACAATTTCACATACAGAATACATACACCTTTTAGAAAAAAAGGCAAATATTGATCTTACAGAGAGCATTGTAATTTACATTTGCCTGCATGATTCTTTTTTCTTTCTTTTTTTTAAATACTAGATTTAGTAAAGTGATCGTAAGTGCCGAAGCGGTTTTCTAATGGAAAGCAGACTGGATTCACAACACAGAAGCAGAATTGGTGGACCAGCCTTTTGGGAATGTCCTTCCCCTGGTCACACGGCAGCTTGGTCCCTTAGGACAGGTGCTCAGCCAGGACTTTTGCTTTAAGAAGGATTTGTCTGGAGAAAGGACTAGAGAGAAATCCAGCGCAGATGTGCTGCTCATTCCTCTTCAGCAGGACTGGGTGGGAATGGAGCAGGGGCTAGAGGAATCTGGAAGCTAATTCTTTTAGGCTTTTTCCAACAGAGGGAAGCAGAGGGACTTCTGGGTCTGGAAGTTGGAGGTGACAGTGCAGGCAGCTGGCTGCTGTCAGGCTCCTGGGGCTCGCAGGGGTTGAGGCCAGAGTGAGAGCCACAGGTGCGGGCGGGAGGGGCAGGTGTGTCCTCAGAGAGGAGTGGGGTCACTACACAGAATGGTCCTGAGATTGCCAAGGGTGAAGGGCATCATGGAGTGCAGGCCTGGGGGGCAAGGACTCACCAGCCAAAGGCGAGGTTTGGCTCTAAAACCTCGACTAGCTGGTTCCTCCCCCACTGCCCACACTCAAGGACCAGGCTAGTACCAAGGAATGGCCACCTGGAGCATTTCAACAGAGCCCGCAGCAGGCATCTGTGCCAAGTCGGCCACTGCTTCCTCTGACGCTTCCCTCAACAGGTGCGGTGACATCACAGGCACACGGGAAGCTCGGAAGTGACTGGGAGCAGGGAAGAAGGCCCAGGGGTGGGTGTGCATGGGGCCAGCGTCTTCTCCAAACCATGAAGGTGCACCTGTGGGCTGGGGGCTCCGTGCACAGAGGAGTGGGACTAGAGTCCAGAAGAGGGGGTTAAGAGCTGTGCCCAGTGACATATGCCCAGGCTGGTGGCATTGGTGCTGTCCCTCTGGGCACAGCATCAATATGGAGGCAGCCCTTTGGTGAGATTCTATTGGTGCATTTCCCCCCATCATTTAGAAATCGTCTCCAGTGACTCTGGCCCCTGTGGCTTCTCTGCCTAAGCCCGGTGACGCCAGGACTCTGGCCTGCCGGCTGCACTGTTCATTGCTAGGCAGCCCATGGAAGAACCCTTGGGTGGGTGGGCTGTTTGAGTACAGGAAGAAAAATGCCCAGGAGAGCTGGAAGGCAGGGTGGGGTGAAGTGGTGTGGGCCCCCCCACCAAGGGCAGGGGCTAGTCCACCAGAGCCCCCAGTCTGCTGCTTTGTGTAGGTCTGGGGCAGGAAGAGCTTGGCCAAAAAGATTTCTAACCTGGGCCGAAGCAATGCCCTTTATGCACCTCCCAGACCTCAGCCCTTGAAGCCTCCAATCCGTGGGCGGTCCCGTGGGTTAGGGCGGAAAGGCAGGGGTGGAGAAAGCCCTGGCCTCCCAGGACTCGGAGGAAGAGTCACTTTCTGCTAGGCCAGGACAGCAGAATGGACAGTGTGGTCCAGGCTGGGCTTGCTGCTTCTCTTGGGGAGGATGAGAGCCCTGGTCTCTGAGTGAAGTCACCAGGAGCTACTGGCTAACCCCGACTCCCCAGAACCCTGGAGCACAGTGGCCCCCCAGGGAGGCCCTGCCTTTTGTCTCACTTTCGTCTTAGCGCTGAGTGAGGCAAAGGAGAATGAAGGTGTTCTGGCTGCAGGCTGGACGGTGGCTGGTTCGTCTGTCGAGTAGGGACCAAGCAGGGAAAGGCCACGAACTGGAAGAGGCAAGTATAGCCAGCACAAGGAGTTCACAGCAGGGTCTCAACCCTCCCCACCTACTGTGTCCTGGACCCAAATAGCTTCAACAGCTCAAGAGCCCCGGGATTCACACAGCCTGGCTGAGGACTGCAGGTTGGCCAGAGAGGTCCCTGCTCTGTATAGGGTGGCATCAAACCCAGCCTGCGTGGGCCATGACAGCTGTCCCTGTGCTGTCCTCCCTTGTAGAAAGTGAAGACAATCACTTTTGGAAGACTGGGAGAACTCGCCTCTCCCCGTTGGGGCAAACTTGCTAGAGCTCAGGCTCTATAGTTCAATTTGGGATTTAAAGCTCTGGTCCTATTATTTTTCTTACAAAGCAGAGTTTTGCCCCAGGAAATGCAGGGCAGCTTTCTGAAGGTAGAGACTGGGATGAGGAAGAGGCACTGGCTTGCCCTGATTGCTTCAGAGAAGAATTCCAATGACTTAGGACAATGCAAAAATCCTCTAGGCCAAGAGAATGAGGTGGCTGGGCAAACTATCCAACACCATACCCTCTCTCTTTTTCAAAAAGAGGCGTAAGACGACCAACAGGCCCAGGCCGTGCCCAGCAGTCACAGTTCTGGGTATTTCCTTCAGGTGGTGGAGACAGGGACATTGTAGGGCAGGGGCAGAGGAAACAGTTCCCTGCAAACGTCTGCTGTGGAGCACTGGAAAAACCCAGCCCTGAGGGGAACAGGGTCCCTTGTACCCCAGGGACTGAGGTGAAACAAAACCCAAAACCCAGCCTCAGGAGCAGCCCTTAGGGCTTGGGGCCTGCCACTTCCGCCTTTGTGGGTAGTTTTAGAACAGAGGAAGCAACAGGAGAGTGAGGCCTCAGTCAGGGGCTCCAGAGCCAGGGACGGACAGTCAGGACTCCTTCCCCAGCCCAGGGGACCGGGGTGGGGAGCAGAAGGGAGTGTCGGGAGTGGGGATGCGTGGGTGGGGTGGCCCACCCACCTGTGGAGTGCCAGGATGGGCCTAGGACTCAGACTTCCAGAATGTCCAGGACCCCTTGGGGAGCCAACCCTCCTCCTTCTACCTGCTCCTATTATTTTGTGTTGAAATCCTAGGAAAAGTAACATTTTATTTTCTTGCAAAAGAAAGAAAAAGAAAAAGAAAAAGATTATTTTTTCTGGGCCTGCCTGCTGGGGCCTGGGTGGGGTCATCCGCCTGTGTCTGCACCCCCCTGCCTGGGGACACTGGTCTTTCTGCTGGCAGAAAGGGGTGGCCACAAGCTGGGCAGGGGTAAAGTGGCAATAACCAGGAGCCTTGCCAGCATCTGTACACAGGAGTGCTTCCTTTTACATTTAATTCCATGTTGTTTAAAGTTGCCTTTTTCTCTGCCCCTCAGTACACCCCTTCCCCTCTGCCAGCCTCTGGGGTGGGTGGCTGCCAACCGTGGGGGGCAGGGCCAGGAACTTCCACCCTCAGCCTTTTCCCAAAAGCATAAACTATTCACAGCCTCAGACTCCTCGTGGGTGTTTTTTAAAAAAAAATGTATGTATGTGATTTGTTTTGTTTCTTTTCAAGCAACAAAAGGTGTAGAAAAAGGCACAGGTAACTGCATACATGAGAAGGTACAGCAGACGGGGCCGTGAGAGCTCCTGGACGGAGAGCTAGGCGGGGCTGAGGGAGTGGGTGACCGGAGGAACGTGGCTGGAAGTGTCTGCACACTGGAAGTCAGAGGCTGAAGCGGCAGGAGAGAGGCTAAGCGTTGGGGGGGCCCCTGTCCTCAGGCTGATGTGGAGGTGCCCTGGGCTCCCCACTTCCTGAGGGCTCAGGGGAGTCCTGCCTGGTCCTGGGTTCCCCAGAGAGGTTCCTCCTCCGGGCTGGGAAGCGGGCAGAGGCCTCCGCCAGGCAGCCCACGGAACTGCTGCGGTCCAGTGGTGGGGTGGCAGAGGCCTCGAGGTTGGCCGGTGCATGTGGGGACTCCAAGCGGGGGCTCCAGGACTGCACTGCCCAGCGGCCCTGGGGCGGCCGGGGCAAGGTTTCAGGAGGGGTGCAAGGGCTGTGCGTGGGTGTGGGCTCTGCGGCTGCCTCGGCCCCTCGGGGCGTCCAGTCAGGAGGCCTGCCCGGGCCTCCGCCGGTCCTCTCCCTCTCCTTGGGGTAGTCCCTGCCCTCCAGCTCCGAGGAGAGTGTGAATTTGGAGACCTTAGCCACAGGTGACACGGAGGCTGACGAGCTCTCGGTGGGACTCCAGCGGCCTCGCTCCTGGGCCTCCCGGGCCCCTGTCAGGTCACTGCCACCCCCAGAGAAGCCACTGACCCAGGCCGTGGTGGGCCCTGGCAGCAGGGTGGGGTGGGCTCCTGGCCGGGCCTGCACCATCTGGATCCCACCGATGGGAATCAAGGGACACGGGGCGCGGGTCAAGTGCTGGGAGTGCAGAGGCAGGTGGCTGAAGATGTTCTCCTCTGTCCGGGCCGGGGCGTGGCCGTGGAAGTCATGGGGGGCGGAGAAGGGTCGGGAGGAGAGAGGATGAGCAGGGCCGGGTGAGCAGGAGGGACTTCGGGACGCAGCCTTCTGCTGGGGCAGAAAACAAGACAAGGTGAGGTGAAGGTTATGTGCTGGACACGCGAGGAGCTGAGGCCTGGAAATGGGAGAGGGACTCGCCCAAGATCACAGAGCGAGTCCAGAGTCCCAGCTGAGCTGGGCCCAGAACCAAATTCCTGACTCCCTGCCCCTGATGCCAAGTCAGCTGCTGTCTCTGGAATGCGCCATGTCCGGCTCTACAGTGACCATGAGCACACTCAGGCCCCATGGACTCCATTTCTCTGGCCAGCATACCTGTTTTCAAAGGAGGGGGTACTTGAGCAAGGCAGGGCCCCGCTGTCACCCATGAGTGAGGTGGGGCCCTGCCGTCACCCATGAGCCTGGCCTCTATGTGGGTCTGGGGCCTCTCCTATTTGTAAAATGGTCTTCACTCAGCGTCAGCCTTGGACATGAGTTCCTACCTGAGGCTCTTGACCTTGTACTGCCCCCAGGAATTTGAATGTGACCCCAAAATTAAAAATCAAGGAAAGATTCCTAGATCAGTATCTCCCAGGAGTAACAGGGCTGGGTCATAGCAACATGGGGACAGAGAAGGTGTCGGAAGGTGAAGGCCAGCTGATAGTGATGGTGCTGTCTATGGGGGGGTCATGGCAGCTGAGGGGACAGGGATGGTGGCTGTGCTGATGGGTGGCAGCAGGGGTGTGTTGGTACAGTGGTGACGGTGGTGCTGCTGGCCATGGGGATAGTGCTGATGGTTGACAGGGATGGTACTGGCTGTGGTGCCTCCAAGGGCATTGGTGACAGTGATGCTGGAGATGGTGATGGTTTTGGTTAAGTTCCGTCATCTTCTCAAAGAACACAGGCAGATGGGGATGGGTGGGGGGTGGGAAATTGCACGAGTATTTACACCCACATCCAAGACCACACCCCTTGCAAGTGATATGATAGAGTTTGGATATCTGTTCCCACCAGAATCTCGTATTGAACTGTAATCCCCAGTGTTGGAGGTGGGGCCAGGTGGGAGGTGTTTGGGTCATGGAGATTGATGCCTCATGGCCTGATTATGGTCCTCCAAACAGTGAGTGAGTTCTCATAAGATCAGGCATTTTGAGTGTGTGGCATCCTCCCCCCACTCTCTCTCTTGCTCCCACTCTGCCATGTGAGATGCCTGTTCCTGCTTCGCCTTCCATCATAAGTAAAAGCTGTTTGAGGCCTCCCCGGAAGCCGAGCAGATGCTGGCACCATGCTTCCTGTACAGCCTGCAGAGCTGTGAGCCTATTAAACCTCTTTTCATTATAAAGTACCCAGTCTCAGGTATTCGTTTATAGCAATACAGGAATGGACTAACACGTGGTAGAATCCAGATCCCATGAACTCCAGAGTCCATGCTCTGTGCTTCTGAGGCTAAAATGAAGTTTAATAAGCCAGCTGATTTAGGGCACCCAGCATGGTGCCTGGCACAGTAGGTGCCTAATAAATTTTTGCTAAATTATTATTAACTACTGAGCTGGCGGAGCTGTTTACTTCCAGATGTGATACCCAGGAGGGGGTGAACTTGCAACCCCTGCACCCACAGGAGAGAAGTGGCCCAGCCACCAGGGGCAGGAACTCACCCACGGGGAGGCGCAGGTCTCTGGGCTTCTGGTGAGGAGCTTGTGAGGTAGAGGTGCGGGCGGGCAGAGAACCCGTGGGGCCAGCCCCAAGCCTGAGCCATGCTCGCCCGTGGAAGGGCTGCCCGGCCCAGCCAAGGCCCACTTCCCTGGCAGCGCTGACCGTGGTGGTGACTCGGCCTGACCTGGAGACCATCTCCGGGTGGGCGAGTGTCTGGGGAAGCCTGGGTTGGTGGTACCCTCGAGTTTGGGGAGCACATGTGCTCCAAGGGGCAGTTCTCTTCCCAGGGGGTGGGGGGTGAGAGGAGACAGCTCAAGTCTTGGAGATCCACAAGGGAGCGGGCCCAGGCCCCTTCCTGGGTCCATGTGCAGGCCAGGCGGGCTCGGGGCTGAGGCCTGTGGTTCTCGGGCCGGGGAGCATCGCTGGGGAGACGAGTCGTTTTTGGTTAGTGAGTGTTTGCGGGCTAGTGGTGGGTGGCCTGCATCTTTGCTTGGGGACCACGGTCTTCTTGGGGACACAGGCTTGGAGCTCAGGGCTGAGCCTGTGTCTTTCTCCACAGGGCCCAGAGTGGCTGGTCCCAGCCGGGGGAGGCACAGGATGCTCTGGCTGGACGTGGAGCAGCTGCTGGCTGTCAGGCGCTCAGCTTCCAAGACTGAGCTGCCTGGCGTAGCCTCGGTGCCAGAGGCGGGGGCATCTGGGGGCTGAGGGCCCAAGATGGGTGAGGAGTCTGCCTGCAGTGCGTGTGGCTGGCCAGGCGGGGGCGCCTCTGAGGATGGTCTGGACAGCTCCTCCTGGCTGTCGTCCTCATCCTCATCCTCGTCTTCGTCCAGGTCTGAGTCTGAGTCCGAGTCCTCCAGGTCTGAAAACTGATGCTCCTCCACAGCCTCTGAGCCCTCTCGCCCTTCCGAGTCCTGGAACACATCGTCACTGGTTCCTGAGGGCAAACACAGAAGACCCAAGGTCACCATTAGGCCTTGGCCCCACTGGCCCCACGGCTGCTCCTCTCTGAGCCCCCGTTTCCTTGCCTTCCACCTGGGCATGATAGCCATGGCAAGGGCACAAGATTGTTGTGACAACCAAGAAACATAATAGATATGGGAGCACATTGTGAGTAACGACAGTGAACAATAATTCCCTTATGCCTAGAATGTGCAATGTTCAGCTCCAAGGGCTTTAGGAATATTTATCCGTTTAGACCTCAAAGCATCCTGTGAAGCTGGTACTGTTCTTATCATCATGTTACAGATGAGGAAACCGAGGTAAGAGAGAGTAAGTAACCTGCCCAAGGAGGACAGTAGTAGGGCTGGGATTGAGCATAACGAAGAAGACAGTCTTCGTTTGTTTCTTTGTTTTTTGTTTTTTTCACTAGCATCTCAGTGCTGGCTTCACCACGGGCAAGTCACCCCACTTTGCTGTGCTGGCCTACCCCTTAGTCAAATGAATACAATGGTCTCAGCTCACAGGGTTTTCTAGGAGGAGTAAAACGAAGGCCTTGCACACAGCAAGGGCTTAGAAATAATTACAGCTACCATATTAATCCATTAATGATGAAATCTATTATTCCAGGGCAGAGCAGTCACACTGGCTGGTCCAGCAGCACAGAGCCACCCGTGGTCAGTCTAAACACACATCTGCCATAGTGACCAGGCTCCCGCTGGCTGGTACCATGGCACCTGGCAGGTGGCAGACTCTGACTTCTGTGGGCGGTTTGGCTAAGCTGGCCTCCGGCTGCAGAGCAGGTCCCTATCCCAGCCACGCTCTTATCTGAGGAGCCACTGCCCTTTTGAAGTCTAGGCTGCCCCCGGCTGCAGGGTCTGGGGCTCCGAAATTCTAGCCTCCTGGGCTGCTTCCTCTGGGATGGGCCCAATCAGTCGGGGCACCTCTAATATGTCAGGGGTCTAGTTTGGGCACCTCTGAAATGGCCAGCAATCCAGACGCTGGAGAGAGCTCTGCTAACATCTGGCCTGCTCGCTGGCCCATCACTAAACTGTCGGAACCTGTTTCTGGTCTGCAGCGTGAGGCTGCTGACAGGTGGGCTGAGCCGGCCAGCCCCATCACTCACACGTCGGTCCTGTACCCACTGCTGACCAGGAGGGCTGGCACAGAAGCTGACCCAGGTTGGTGGGGCAGCCAGGCTTTGGCTCTCCACCATGCCCAGCTGCCTAGGGGCCAGAAAGCCTGGCACTAGCGCTTCCAAGTCACTCAGCATGCAGCAGTCAGATGTCCGAAGTGGACAAAAGTGGGTATTCAGTCGGATGTAGGTCAAAAACTATGGGGCGAAGCTGGGGCTGGCAGGCAGAGGGAGGGCCCCGAGGCTAGAGGCGGGGTGATGAAAGCAGAGGCGGAATGAAGGGTTAGGATGAGAGCAGGGCTGGGGATGGGGGTGAACTTCGAAGTTATGTCCCAGGCAGTGACTTCCCTTGCCTAGGACTTTGGCAGGGGCCTACTTCAGCACCAGGACACCTGGCCCTGCCCCTCATTTACATACAGCAAAATCCAGACACAGATGACCCGGTGAGAGCTGGTGGCTGAGTCAGAAATAAGGTTTCCAGCCCTTGCATTACTAAGCTGACAGTTTAAAAATGATTTGCTACACCAAGAAGCAGGGAGTGATTGCGTTTGAATCCCAGCACCACCATTTCCTTGTGTGATGTTGGATATTTTACTTTCTCTGTGTCTGGTTTCCTCATCTGTAAACTGGGTAGCAATAAAAACACCCTAGGAAGATGCTGGGAGGACTGTGGGGCCTGGCGCACAGTAAGTACCCATTAAACTTCAGCTCCGGTCATCCCGTGATCCCCTGGCCCCTAGTGTTAGCAGGCAGGCAGCTGGGGTGGCATTGTCAGCATTTTGCAGATGAAGGTCACAGGTAGTGTTAGGAGTGAAGGAGAGTCAGGGCCAGCGTCTCCTGATGTCCAGCAGGGAGAGCTCCTCAAGACCCTCCTTACTAACGGAAGTTCAGGCCCAGTGCGGGTAGGGGCCTGTCCTGAGCACTCGGTGCGTGAATGCTGGAAGTCAAGAGTCCCCTGCTCGTCTCAGAGTTGGCCGGGCTCGCCACACGTGGGTTCCTGCAGGGCTCTGGGGAGTGCCCCTGGCTGGAGCGGCCCCGCCCCTGCTGGGATGGAGGCCAACGTTCCAGAAATGAGAAAGCTGAGCGCGCGGCGGGAGCCGCTGGGAGAGGCCACACGGTGGCGCTGGCGCCAAGCCTGGGCAGCACCGGGGGCGGGGCCGGGGCGCCTCGCTCTTTCCAGGCTGTCCTCCCACGCGCCGCCTCGCGTCCCACGAACTCCCCCTGCCGCTCCCCCCGGCATCTGCCTTGTCGCGGGAAGTGGCAACTCCATCCTTCAGTCTCTTGGGCCGTAAACCTTGGAGATCTCCTTGGCTCCTTTTCGTCCTCACCCCTCCCCTCTGCTCCATATGGGGTCAGCTGAGCCTGCGGGCTCTCCTTCCAGAGCCCACCCAGAAGCCCGCCGCTTCTCCACCTCCTGAGCATACCCGGCCTCCCCGCGCCCCCGGCACAGGCCAGAGGACGCCCTGCCTCCCTCCTCTACTCCCGGCACCCCCGTACCCCTCAACCCTCAGGCTCCAGCTCTCACTGAACTGTCTGCCCCTCCGCGCTCTGCGGGTTCCAGCACGTGGGCCAAGAGCCTCCTGCTGTCTCTAGGGAAGAGCTCCTGCCTGACCCCACGTGGCTCCTGACCCCGGTTCCTCCCGGTGGGTTCTCTGCTCACACCGCCGTCTATCACAGCGGCCCTCCCTACGTGCCCCAGCCCTCACTTGGCTCCTCTGCTTTCTCTTCGGCTTCATAGGCAGGGCCCCTGCTCTACTCCACCTTCGCTCCTTGCCCAGCTTTGTTCCTTCCTTGTTTTATTTACTGCGGCATCTCCAGCACCCAGAACAGAGCCCGGCACAGTGACTGTGCCCAGTAATGACTTCTGGAATGAATGCACGGATTTCGTCCTCAAAAACATGGCTCTCAGCATCCTTATTCTCCCCACTGGGAAAATGAGGCTGGGGCGGGGCAGGGACCTCAAGGGAGGACTCCGGCTTCGGCTCAGGCTCCCCTGGTCCAGCCCACCAGGCAGTGGGGTGGCGTGCGGCCAGGGTTTTTGTGTGACTTTGGGCTATTTTTACCTGCTGGAGCTTTACCTTCCCTGACTTAACATGCGTGACAGTTTCTGCCACCTGTTATGAGGACTCAGTGAGACAACATATGTATATGGCCCAGTGTATTCTTAACAAGCAGAGTGAAGCCACATTCTAGCTGTGGGGGGAACAGCCCCAAGTTCACTGTGTTCTGTTCTATAAGAGTGACTTATTCCACTTAAAGGGAAATGTGACTTAACTGTTTTTTGTAAGACCACAAATACATCCCCAAATCGGAAAAACGAAAACGGAACAACACACACACATGTGTGAACACACACTCCTGTCTGTTACACTCTAAGTCCTGGGGCTGATTTCAGGGAATCAGCAGGATTCCTGCTTTGCTTGATGCTGGAGAAATGGCTCCAGCCTCCTCCTGCTGGAGGGCCCCGTCCACCCACCAAAGCCCCTCTGGCCTCCTGCCTGACTGCTGAGGCCGGGCAGTGCCCAGCCAGACCTGCTGCCTTCAACTGCTCTGCCTTGTCTCCTCAGAGACTGACTCTAAGGTGCCTCCCGAGGATGGACCGCCATGGCTGGAGTGTGTGGGGGATGGGCTAGGAGGGATCAGGCGGCTGAGGTCTGCTGTGGGCTCTCTTGAAACTCTCCTAGCTCCAAAAGGCACAGGTGTCAGGCCCATGCCCGAGTGTGAAGGCAGGAATGAGGGTGTGGAGCTTTAGAGAATATGTGTCCCATAGTGTTGCTGGGATACTTCAGGGCATACATTTACGACCTGCTTGACACATAGTGGGCACTCAATCAACGTTGACTGTAAGTACTCTCGTGTGCATTCATTCAGTAAACATTCATTGAGCACCCATGGGTGCCAGGTGCTCCACCTGCATGACAGATGGTATGATAGCTAGGGCTGCACAGCATACCCTATGGCTTGCGGGGAGTGGGCTCCATCATTCAGGGAATTTATCCTTTGTGTCTGATAGTTGGGTGAACTGAAGGGGAAGGCATGGGAGGGAGAGAGGGGAGGAAGAAGAATGGGGCAAAGTGGACAGAAAGGAAGCAGCGAAGGCAAGGAGGAAAGGGGGAGGGGAAGCGGGATGGAGGGGGTTGGCAAGTGTTACCTTCTTCGGCTTCCAGCTCCTCCAGCACCCCTGTCTCTTGGCACTTTTTGCTGTGGGCCTTCGACTTCATGTGCTTAGTCAGATTCCCTGGAAAGAAACGAGAACAGACTTAGGCTCTGCAGTGGGGCAAGAGGCCAGGGCGGACCCAGGGCTTATGGAGGTAGCACCTGGCCGGCAGGCCACGGTTTCTCAGGCCAGTCAAGGCCCTGCCAGCTGCAGGGGCTGGGCAGCAGCTGGGGCATCCCTCTGCCCTGGTGCTCAGGCCAAGAAGTGTAGCCACAGCTGCTGTTCAGGGCAGTGCACAGGAGCTAGGTGGGGTGGGCGTGGGGCTGTGAGGAGACAGAGAGTATAATGAGGAAGTGGGATGCTGGTTAAAAAACAAACAAAAAGGAAATTAAAAGACAACTCAAGTGCAACAGGCTTTTCTGGCTTCTGATTTAAGTCTGGCCCTAGGAGCTGGCGACACTCATCAGGTGGGACTATTGGCCATCTCAGGTGTGGGATGGCGTGGGAGGATCCCATTGACCGGCATGGCGGGTGAGGACTCAGCATGCCTTTCTGGCTGAGGACACATCTAGGGCAGCCCACAGGGCAGAATTCTAAAGTCTAGGTAGAGAAACCAGGGCAAATTTAGTATTAGGCCTGGGGACAGAACAGAAGGTGAGAATAGGGAACTCTACTGGCCACGGACTCGGGAGCCACAGGGCTGGGGGCCAAGCTTGGTTTCTATAGAGAAGTCCCCTTTTTGGGCCTCAGTTTCCCCAGGCCAATCTGCAGTGCAGACACAGGACCAGGGTGGTTCAGGGAAGGCCCAGGCAAGGCTTTGTCCTGCTCGATGCCTACGAAGCCTTCAGAAGGGAGGCTGTCTTTGCCCTGGTTATAGGTCCAGCCCACAAGCTGAAGAGCAGAGGCAGCAGCTCTGTGGAATCACGGAACAGTATCAACAGCTTCAGTTCCCCGACAGGTGCGCAACATTTCGCAGGCCACACAGCTCTGTGAACAGGAGTGTTCTAGGAAGGACAGGAAGAGCATCCCAGCCTGCCCCAGAACACAGGCCACATGCCTCAGGATATTCCTCTGGGCCCAGCAGCTACTCCCAAGCTATGATGTGCTCACTGCTGGGCTGGGGATGGCTACATTTCCATATGGTTATAACATCGTAAGTCATACGTTCCCTGAGTCAGGTGCTCTGTCCCGTTAATCTAATTAATTGGTAAGTTTGAATAGATGGATGGAGGAGAGAAGAATGGAAAGAGGTAAGCCTCCGGGAGTGGGTGAATAGAGTGACGGCTGGATAGATAAAGTGGATAAAGGAAATATAAAGAGAATGAAGAACAGGAAAAGGATAGACAGAGGGATGAGACATTGGATGAGCAGATAAGGAGATGAACAGACAGATGGAGAATGGGTTAGCAGATGAAAATAAATGGAAGGATAGAGGGAGAATGGGTCAGTGAACAGATGGGCTGATGGAGAGCTGGATGGGAGGACAGAGACATGGATGGGTTAAGAATGAAGAACGGCCGGTTGGATGGGTGAATGGACACATGCATGGGAGTACAGACAGGAGGATGCAAGAATGGGAGGTCGGATGGGTGGGAGGACAAATGGGAGAATGGTAGGAACAAATAGGATGAGAAGATAAATGACCAGGAAAACTATTAGATGAGACGGATGGATGGACGGGTGACTAGGGAGAGGGCCCAATGGATGAACCAAAGGGTGCTTGTTAATCATTCCGAGAATCAGAAGAAATCTTCAGGGTTTTGCTAAGACGTTGACGGGGGAACCTTAGGCTGGGATTCCCTGAGGTGTTCAAGTCAAGGGCAGCAGGGATGTGAGGGGAGTTGTTTCCTTTCCTCTTTCTTTACCTTGATCCTAGTTTAATTTGGGTTTTCCTTCTACAACCGGAAATAAACCTGCATGTTCTACTCCTGGCCATAGTGGGAGCAAAGCCATAACTTCCAGAGTCATCTTGCAGCCAGAAAGTCCCCAGAGGTCCCTACCCAACCTTGTGGACCTCTGCCCTCATTGTCATGAGCTCGAATAGGACAGTCAAGCGGTGGGAAAAGGCAGCTGGGATCTTCCGTGGATCAGAGGGACCCACTGTCCTACTGTTCTGGAGCCAGGCCCACCCTCCCTGGCTTTAGAATTCTGCCCTGTGGGCTGCCCTAACTAACTAACTAACCCAGGCTGACTAACCCTGACTAACCCAGGCCACACAGCACTACGGACACTGCTCATTCGGCTATTACCTCATTGATCGCACCTGTTCTGCCTGGAGGGTTTAGGTCTCTAATCAACCGAGTTAGAGGCTGGGCACACGATGGGTGTACAATACCCACGTGTGGTTCTCATCGCAGGAGGGAAGTGTTGGAAGGAACTTCACAGTCCATGTAATTCAACCCCCACCAGGCTGAGGTTCTTCCTGCTTCTGATCCAACTCTGGGCCCAGGTGTGGATGGCACCATCAGACAAGATCACTGGCTGTTTCAGATGCTGGCAGGGCTGCTTGAACCAACACAGCGAATCAAGTGGCCCACAGCCACAGTGCTGGTTGGTGCCTAGCTCCATCTGGACCCAGGTCTCAAGACTCGGGGGGCCTTTCCCACTCCATGTGGAGGCACAACGGAAGCTGGGCGGAACCTGACAACCTCGGGTTTGACCGTGGGCTCTGCTGCTTGCTAGCTGTGGGCTCCTGAGCAAGTTTCTTAAGCTTCTGAGCCCTGGTTTCTGCGGCTATGAAGTAATACCTACCTCGTGGGGATGCAGGAGGACTTGATGAGGTGACACATGTCGTGGCAGCAGAGTGTGCTTGGCAGAGAGCAGACCCCGCCCCCATGCCAGTCACTCTATTGAGCAGCCGGGGGCTGGGTGTGGAGGAAGAGATGCTAAGATGATGCTTATGCTGAAATGGTTTTACCTCTCTCAGAAGGCACCAGGGAGCCCCCCAAAGGCCTGCCTCCCCTCTGCCCCCGCCCTGGGGGGTACAGGAAGGAGTCAGGGATCGGAGGTGACTCTGCGGGTTCCAGGAGTGGACACTGGATGGGCAGTATCCGGGTCCCTCCGTGATGTCCCCTCTCCAGGCCTGTCTCCTCCTCTGTGAAGGGGGAAGGTGGAGCACATGGCCGCAGGTGCTGCCTGAACGCCACTTCCCTGCTGAGGGCCAGAGCCTCAGCTTGTCGGGCAGAGCTACAGCTTCTCACAGTCATCCCAGCCCCCACCAAAAGCCTGATAGCCCTGGAATGAAGAGTTGAGGCAAGCGGGGGGCGGGGGGAAGTGATGGGTGTCGGGAGGAGGCGGAACCTCCGATAAAAGGGCTTCCACCAACAACCCTGCCTGCCTCATTCGACTTTGACCAACTGCCCTGTCCCCGCCTCTGCCGGCCTGGCAGACCTGAGGCCATCTCTGTCCCCTGAGGCGATCGGTGCAAGGGCCTGGACATGGCACAGTCACCCGCCAGCCTCTGGGAACCATCTGAGAAGAGGAAATGGGACCCCCAGCCACCACAGGGCCACCCACGGGCCTCCCCAGCCCCACCTACTGACGCGTTCCTTAGCCAGTTTCAGGAGGCTGAGCTGCTGCCACGACGTCTGACACAAGAGACGAGACACACACGGCAGACAGAGACAGACAGGAAGGCAGGAGGGGCGCCCAGGCCCTGGTGCAGCTGGGTGGCAGGGCCGGGAGGTGCCCCGATGGGGAGGCACACAGCCCCAGAGAGAAGGGGCCTTTGTTGTCAGCACTCCACGAAGGCACCTGGTCCCAGAAACAGACAGGAGCTCCGGCGTCCTGCTCTCCCTTCACCCCCATACTGCAGAGAGAGCTAATGGGGAGCATTCCCTGTTTCCATTGCCACCATCCCACCTGGCCTCCCTTCTGTCAGCCAAAGAGTTTCAGATTCCACCATTTCCCATCTGCTCCCGGCATTGGTTCTGGAAGGTTCTATTCTTCCAGAAGCCTCTATGAATACTTGAGGAAGAGCTCAGGGCATTCTTTGATCACTGGTTGAGAGCATGGCCATGTGGACCTGGCCTTCAAGACAGCAGGGGCAGCCTTCCCTTGAGGGACACTCTACACCAGGCATCCCCAAACTTTTTACACAGGGGGCCAGTTCACTGTCCCTCAGACTGTTGGAGGGCCACCACATACTGTGCTCCTCTCACTGACCACCAATGAAAGAGGTGCCCCTTCCTGAAGTGCGGCGGGGGGCCGGATACATGGCCTCAGGGGGCTGCATGCGGCCCGCGGGCCGTAGTTTGGGGACGCCTGCTCTACACCCCTGGAAATGTGGAGGCCTACAGCCCATCTGTTCAGATTACGTGCTCGAGACCCTCCAAGGCCCTCGCCTTGGCTCTGTGTTGGCTCCGAGAGACCCAGGAAGGGACTGCAGACAGGCTCAGTACAGCTTCCAATGAAGGCACCTTCTAGAAAGTGGGGGCTCCTGCTAGGGACCCATGGCAAAGGGAATTGAGTGGGCCCCTCGTGGGAAACTGCTTGGGCTGGAAACTTCCGGTCTCAAGCGGTAGAGTGATGGCTTCCTGAGGTGATGGGCCACCTGGGCTGCGTGTGGAGCACAGGTATGCTCTGCATGGGGAGCTCTCAGGGCTCCTCAGGCCGAGGACAGTGTGGTCCCCTGGACACAGGCCACCCCAAGTGCAGCTTTTGGCCACCTACTCCCGGGAAGAGAGGGAATTAACTGCTCACAGACAGGAAGGGGACGGGGTGATTCCTGGAGCGTGGGTCCTGTGTTCTAGTTACAGCTCTAGCATTAAGTCATTCTCTGGTCTGGGATCAGTTTCTTCAAAGGGACCTGGGTGAGAAGTTTTCTGCTTTTAGAGCTGAAGACCGTCCATTGAAGTGTCACTCAGTGATCACCAGCTCGCTCTTCTGTAAAATCTCCACTGGCTGCAGAAGGCCGGAGGAAGTGCGGTTGAAGGGGGCGTCAGGGAAGCCCATGTCCAGGGTGGCGCATGCTGGGCGGGGCTCCAGGGATGGATGACACCTTTGAAGCACCCGTGGGGTGGAGTGGGGAGCCCTGGGCCTATCTGCCCTCTCTGATAACCCTTTGGGACATTGTTTATGAGACACTAAGAGAGAAGAGGATTGGGGAAAGGCAGTGGGAGGGCAGGCACTTTGTTTAAACTAAAACCTTGGCAGGAAAATTGGAGCTCAACTTGCAGATGATGGCGAGGGGACAGAGGAGGGCAGGGGTTCAGTTAATGGGGTCAGGAGACCAGAAATGGGAACACAGTCAGAGAAGAGGCCACTGTGCCAGGGGATGTGATAAACTGGCCCCTGACCTGGTATAGTGAGAATGGAAGGGACCAGGAACAAGAACATGGAGGAAGTGAAGACGGGCAGGGACCCTGCTGGGCCCCTCCAGAGCACTGCCTAGCCTCGCTCACTGGGAGCAGCACTGCCAACAGAAGAAAGGTCAACAGGTGGCACAGCTGAAAGATGCCCTTGAGTTTCACCCCCTGAGAAACCACGGGGCTCCTGGAGGCCCCCAACCTGCTCAAAGGAGAAGACGGGACCCTTATGTCCAAACCCTGACCCAGAAATCTATAAAGCTCAAGAGGCCGAAGACACCAGGGGTGCTGAGAGCCCCGAGTCTCCCACCAAAGCACTTCAGTCTGCAGGGAGCAAGCTGCCAGGGCCTTCCCTGCCTGTCCTGCAGGAGGAGAGCACGATCCAAGAATCTCATGGACTCAGCTCCGTCGTCCACACTAGGGGCGTGGCCTGGGTGGCTGCGGCAGGCCAGGCCATGTCCATCGCCCATGGCAGCTCTCTGGGATTCACACCTTTCGCAGCAGGTCCCTCCTTTCACAGGTGACTGCCAGAGCCTATCCTGACCCTGATGTAGGGTGTGGCCGGGGCAGGGGTGACAGGGCTGCCAGTCTGGGAGTGGGGGGCCGGCCCTGTGCTGAGAGGTGCGTAGAAGCTGGGTGGAGCAGGGAATGGTGGGAGTGGAGCGGTGGGTGGAGGCCAGCGCACGCTGGCATGAGAAGTGAGCATGCGAGTGTGTTAAGCAGCTGGGAGTGGAATGGATTTCCAAATGCAAGAGTGGCAGTGACGAGCATGGATGCTGGAGGGCCTTAGATCAGTGGCTCAGGAGACATGCAGAAGCGGGTGGGGGATGAGAGAAGATGCAGAACCAGGAACTGTGCGCAAGAGTGCCATGCCAGGCTGGGCAGGCCAGGGCCAGGCAGCGCAGGTGCAGGGGCCGTGTGCGAGACCCAGGAGGACAGCTGTGGGCAGCCGTGGGGAGCCACGGGCCAGTCTGGAGCCAGCTGCTCTGCCACTGGGCACTGGGCTGGGTGCGAATCCAGGAAATGGGGCTGCTCCAGGCCCCCTGCAAAGAGGTCTGGGCGCCTGAACTCTGCGCTGGGACTCCCAGAGGGGAGCTCCCTGCAGCGGGCAGGGGCCGTGCCCCAACTGACTGTCTCTTACCTTTGGTTTTAAAAGCAAAGTGACAGTGCTTGCACACATAGGGCCGGACGTCAGTGTGGGTGCGGATGTGTTTCTTCAGCATGCTGGGCTTCTTGCAGCGAATTCCACACTCCTCACAAACATATTTCCCTCGGCCGCGGCCTCGCACATATACATACTCTTCGTTTGATTTGTACCTATGAGCAACAGGCGTCATAGTAAAGGGAAAAAAAAACGAGAAGAGGCAGGTTCCCACCTCAGAAGACGCACGCACTTCCTGGCTAACAGGCATTCAGCCTGTTACAGGCGCCAGGAGTGGAGGCCATGGAACCAGAGAAGACCACGGGAGTGGGAGGAACTGAGTCGCGCTGGGGATCCACCACGGACCCCAGCACCCCTGCCCCTCAGACAGGTGGGGCTGCACTATTCTTTCTCCCCCAGAGGCAGCAGACACCTGTGCTTCCCACCGACGGGATGTGGAGCTGCAGGTGCCAGACAGCCTCCTGGGCAGAGTCAACCCGGGCTACAGCTTCCCCCGCAAAGAACAGCCACCTCGGGCCACCAGAGTCACAGAGAGGAAATGAGAAACACCAGCAGCTCCGGCAGCTGCCATTCACCAAGTGCTCACTCTGCCAGGCACCTCCCCCAAATCAAAGCACAACCACCTCACCATGGAGAACTCGTGGCTCGTCCAAGATCCCATAGCCAGAAGGGGCCAGAACCAAGCTATGGACCTGCCTGCCCCAAAGCCTGTCCAGTCTGCCAGGAAGCCACCCTGACATTCACGGGAGGAGAGGGAACAGGGACCATCACTGCTTCCCTGGCTTCAGAGTTTGGAATAAGAAATTCCGAGCTCTCTCCCTCACCTCCACCTCAGCCCGCACGCAAGCTCTGCAGGACCCAGGGTCCCAGCCGCCTGCCACGTCGCTTGGGGTTCTAGCTGGAAGTGCCACCAGCTTTCAGTAGCAGCCCGAAGCACGAATCAGAATGCTCTCATTTCCACTTGGAAACCCACGAATCCCACAGGCACAACAGGATCACGATGAAGCCGTCTTGTTGGTCTAATGCTATACACGTGTGAGTCTCAGATGCGGGTGGGGAGGGTGGCAGAGGGCGGGCCAGGAGAGGCGACCCTGGCACACTTCCAGAAGAGCCTTCTAACTCGCGAAGCCTGGGGGGCCGCTGGCACTGGCAGGTGGAGGAGGCGTGGCCTCGAAGCCTGTGGAGCGCGCCTACCAATGCCAGCTAAAGCTGCCAGGGCCCGCTCACCCCGTACCACCTGCCCCTGCCCGGGGCCAGCACAGAGGGGCAGGAGGTGGCTGGGAGGAGGTGAGCAAGGGACAGCAGGGGGACTCCACCCTGCTCCAATGGGGCCGTCAGCTGATAGCTGAAAGGGTGGCGGAAAAGGGCTGGGAAGAGGGGACTTAAGGGAGGGAGCTTGCCGGCAGCAACAGAACAATCATTGCCACACCCTGCTCTTACAGACCCTCACACACTCACATTCACATGCTGAGCCTCACACTCATACATGCTCACACCTTCACACACACACATTCACACACCTTCACACTCACACATGCTCACACCTTCACACTCACATTCACATGCTCACCCGCACTCATACATGCTCACACCTTCACATTCACTCTCACACATACCCTCTCACTTATATATGCTCATACCTTCACACACACACACACATTCACACGCTCACCCCCACACTCATACATGCTCACACCTTCACCCTCTCACATTCACATGCTCACCCTCTCATACATGCTCACACCTTCACACACACACATTCCCACACCCTCACATGCTCACACCTTCACACACACATTCACATGCTCACCCTCACACTCATACATGCTCACCTTCACACGCATTCACATGCTCACCCTCACATACATGCTCACACCTTCACACACTCACATTCACACATGCTCTCACACATGCTCACACCCTCACCTTCATATACACACATGCTCACACCCTCTACCCTTACACACTCATTCACACATGCTCACACTCCCACATTCACGCCCTCACACCCTTACACTCACACATGTTCACACCCCCCACATGCTCACTCCCACACTTACACTCACACACATACATGTTCATGCCCCCAGTCTCTCACCCTCACACACTCACATACATGCTCACACCCCCACTCACACCCTCACATCCCCATACCCTCACACACATGCTCACACCCCACACAATCTTCACTCATACACATGCTCACACTCCCCACACATCTTCACTCACACACACATGCTCACACGCCCCACCACATCTTCACACATGCTCACACTCCCACTCACACATGTTCATGCCCCGTTTCTCACCCTCACACTCACATACATGCTCACACCCCCACTCACACTCACACACACACATGCTCACTCCCCCACACATCCTCACTCACACATGTTCACACCTCCACACTCATCCTCACTTTCACACCCATATGCTCACACACACCCCACACACACGTTCATCCTCACACACATGCTCACAACCCCACACTCACATGCTCACTCACCTCACACACACACCCATACACCCTCACAGTCACACACCCTTACACTCACCCTCACATGCTCACCTTCACATTCATACATGCTCACACACCCACTCACGCACTCTCACACTCAGCACACCTTCACATACCCTCTCACACACAGGTTCACAACCTCACACCCTTACCCTCACACATGCTCACACCCTCACCCCCACTCACTTTCACACTCACACATCCTCATACCCAGTCACACACCCTCACACATGCTTACCTCATCCTCAACACATCTTCACATTCACATGCCCACCTCCCACATGCTCACCCTCACACATGTTCACACTCACCCTCACCCTCACATCCCACACTCACCCTCACATATGCTCACAGCCTACACACCCTCACACATGCTCACACCCCACTCACACCCTCACACCCTGCACTCACCCTCACACATGCTCACCCCACACTCACCCTCACACATGCTCACACCCACACCCTCACACATGGCCACACCCACACACTCACACTCATCCCATACACCGTCACACATGCTCACACCCCACATTCACCCTCACACTCTGCACTCACCCTCCCACATGCTCACACCTCCCACCCTCACATGCTCACACCCACACACACCCTCACACTCATCCCACACTCACCCTCACATGCTCACACCTCATACACCCTCACACATGCTCACACCCCTCACATACCCACACATGCTCACACTGCACTCACACCCACATGCTTACACCATACACACCCTTACACCAGCTCACACACCTACCGTCACACATGCTCACACCCCACGCCCTCACCTGCTCACACCCTACAAACCCTCACAGTCACTCTGCACTCACCCTCACACATGCTTACCCTACACCCTCACATGTGCTCACACCCCACACTCACCCTTACACATGCTCACACCCACTCACACTCATCCCACACACACACCTGTTCACATCCCAATCACACACCCTCACATCTGCTCACACCCCACTTACCCTCACACCCCACACTCACCCACACACGCTCACACTCCACACACACCCCGAACCTCACACCCTTCATTCATACTCCACACCCCATCCTCACACAGACACCTCTACCCTCACATACCCTGACTCTCCTCCCCACACCTCCTACCCACACACATGCACCCCACTCTCACACATGCTTATGTCCCCACCTTCATACACATACACACACTTACATCACCCCACACCCCGATACCCTTACACTCACACCCCTATGCACTCCCACAACCACTTGCACCTCCACAATTTTATACTCCATATTCACACATATACCACCCTCATATACCCATCCACACATTCACACACACACCGAGACTCACATTTTTCCATACCCCCACACACTCATCCACACACATAACCCACACTCACACCCCCCCACATTCAGTCACCCTCACAGTCACACTCACATCCTCACACTGCCACTTACACTGATGCATACTCCCACAGTCACACCCACACCCCCCACAGAACAACAATCACACACGGACACGCACCACACACCCCCACCCTAACATGCTAACAGTCCCGGCCACACACTCACACCCATGCACACACACCACACACTTACACTCAGTTGCACAGTCAGACCTTGATGCTCATGCTCACACTCTCCTGCACACACACCCTCACGCGCACCTCACGCATGGACCGCTGTCCACTGATGCCATCAAGAAGTCTAAAACTGCCCTTTCTCCAGTGGCCACCCTGACCAGCCAGTTTTGTCTGCATCCCCCATGGGGACACCTTTCTGCGAGATCGGACACGTGCCACCTTGCATCCGACAGGAGGAACTGAAGGCCGTGGCAGCGGTGCACAGACATGACGCCTTTCTCTTAGGAAGGGCACCCTGTGGCCAAGCACGAGGCATCTACCTCAAAGTGACAGCGGCTCACCCTCACGCAGAGATCTCCAGGGCCAAAACCAGTTGCCCGCACCTGGATCTTAATTCTCATGTTCCTCCATGCCCCTGTGACCTGGTGGTCCCCTTTCCCACCTAGGAGAAGACAAAGTGATGATGGCTTGGGCTCCTCTTTGCACTGGAGGCCCCACCACCTCCTGGACACTAGCTTCCACCTGGCCTGCTCGTCGGGTCCATGGCACTTGCTCCCCTCCCGCCACCGCCACAATGGTGTCCTTTAGCTTCAGCCTTCACCCTGCTGATCCCTGCACAGACCCACAACCACTCTGGTTGTCTACTGTGCCTGTGTGCCAGCCAACCAGAAGCAGGTGCCAGGGTCCATCTGCCCCAGCTGCTCTCAGATCCCTTCACTTTCTCCTTTACATCAAGCTTAAATAGTACATGGTCTTTCCAAATGGGAGGAAAGAGAGAGAGAGAGGAAGGGAAGGAGGGAGAGAGAGGACCCCGAGCCTTCAAGGGTGGTGCCTTGACTTGGGGCAGGATACACACAACCACGTACAGCATCTTGTCGCATCAGGGAGGGTGTGCATCCTGCTGGGGAGCACGTGGGAGGAGCCTGCGTTGGGTGAGGTCAGGGAGGACAGGAGAGATGGAGGGCAAGATGGAGGGCGGGAGAGGCAGAGGATGGGCGAGAAGGGACGACTCAGGCAGGCACCCCCGGAGCAACGGCAGAGTGTTGGAGTATTTGGTTCAGGAGAGTAGATGGGG